GGAAGGCCCCGGGCTGGGTCAAGCAAGTGGCAGGGCTCAGTGAGGAGCCGAGCCAGGTGAGGGAGGCAGACCTGGCCGAACCAGCCGGCTCTGCCCCCACCCGAGAAAATGGAGGCAGCCCTGGGGTCAGTGGCTGGTCTGGTGTGGCTGGTGGAAGCTGGACAGGGGTCTGCCTCGTAAGCAGTGCTGGGCTGTGGGTCACTCACAGAGCTGGACAGTCCGGGCGGCTCTCTCTCCGTTTCTGCGTTGGCGTGGACCCTGTCTTTGGTCTCTGGTCTCTGCCGCCTGGGGCTGCTTACTTGGTCCGGCGGCGCGGCTTGGGCGTTCTCAGGAATCTTTTGTGTCGGCCCTAAACTTCGAGTCTGTAGTTGCTTTTTTTATATTTGTAGATTAGTTGTTCAAAGACTTATTCATTTTTTGTTGCTCTTGGAAATGCAGATAGCACTCTGGCAGCTCAGCGCACGCTTTTCAGGTTCACGCTCACGAATAAATTCTTGAATGGACGAGAACACTGGCGATTAGGGCCAACTCAGTCAAGAGTCTTACTATTGAGCTGCCATTTTAATTAAGCTAGTAATATTTTAAAGTCATGCAGAAAATCATAAATAAATGAAAGCAAGGTAGAAAACGTGTAGCAGATTAGGCTGTAACGTATTTTTCCCCAACAGTGCTCTGGTAGTGCTGTGCTTAGCATAGCCCTGATTACCTGGGGGCTCCTGTGCCCAGAGCGTCATATCTTTAATAATAGACAATTTAAAAGTTTTCTTTTTTTTTCCTTTTTGTCTTTTTTCATGACCGGTAACGGGATCGCAACCCTCGGTGTCGCGCCTGCACCGCTCTCAGCCAGTGAGCGGACCGGTGTCTATATGGGATCCGAATCCTCGGCGGGAGCGCCGCCGCACTCAACCGAGTGCGCCACCGGGCCAGCCCTAAAAGTTTTCTTAATATTGAATATCCAGTCAAATTTTTCCTATTAGATTTGATGAACTTAATAATGGGGTTGTTCCTGTTAATATATATTTTTACTTCTTGTTTTTTTTCTCTGTCTGGAACTTAGACTACATTTTAAAAAAACAGACAGCATTTCTAAAATTAGCTTCTATTTAAACTTTTGAAAAACAAGCAATATGCTTTCTTCCTTCTCAAGAAGACTTTTTGTTCTTTTTCTTTGTTTAGCTATATTTTACTGAGTCAGAGAGAACATAACATTTCATTCTGCCTGTCTGGTTGCTCATAGATAGAATATATCATTGGAAAGAATTTAGTTTACAATTTTTGGAAGTTACAGCTGTGCATAAATTTATATGGTTTAAAGAAATTTTTTGACGTAAGGCAATTTAAAACAGAGTTCCTTCTCAGTGTTCTATTTGTACTGTGTTTGGAAGCACTTGCTAGTAAAAGAGAATGTATGTTAGCCAGGAGCTCAGAAGGCCCTCTCTGCTGCTTAACCCTGGGTACTTATGTCAGGCCCAAACCAGCTCCTAAGCTCTCCTTTGTTTTTTTGGCTGTAGGCCCCAGAAATCTAGCCCTCTTTTCTCTCTGCTTGATACTTCGGACTGGCTTTGGAATAGGACACAGTCTTTCCAATTCCTCATTTTTCATGTACATTTTTCATGTGTGTGTGCGTGTGTATGTGTGTGTGTGTGCGAGTGTGTGTGTGCATGCGTGCAAGTGTGTGCGTGCGTGCGTGTGTGTGTGTGTGTGTGTGTTGGCGGTTGGCCAGTACAGAGACTTGAACCTTTGATCTTGGTGGTTTCAGCACCATACTCTCCCAAGTGAGCTAACCAACCAGCCCCTCATTGTGTATATAAAATAGTTAATTCCTAAGCTAAACTCTTAAGTAGTCAACTAAGATTTGTACTTAGGAAAGGAATAGTATGGGAGATTGGTTTCTGATGTAGAATGTAACTGGAAGCTTAAATTAATAAAATATTCTTTTGTGGCTTATGTGAACTAGACTATTTACTTTTAGTCACCACGTATACCTGCAGTTGTTGGTGATTGCTTTTTGTAGGACTGTGAAGATCCCAACCCATTGATTCGGGCCTTGGCAGTCAGAACCATGGGCTGTATCCGAGTGGACAAGATAACAGAATATCTCTGTGAGCCCCTCCGCAAGTGCTTGAAGGACGAAGATCCCTATGTTCGGAAAACAGCAGCAGTCTGCGTGGCAAAACTCCATGATATCAATGCCCAAATGGTGGAAGATCAGGGATTTTTGGATTCTCTACGGGATCTCATAGCAGATTCGAATCCGATGGTAATAAGCTTCTTCTTTTATAGAGAGAGCAGTATTTAAAATGGATCCCTTTTCAAGACATGTTTAACACAAAACTTACCTTTGCGACATTGGAGGACCACAGAATAGCTAAAGGAAAATGACTTCCATGTGTCTCACAGATTGTATATCTCACACCCTAAGATGTTTTTGTGGTGAGAATCAAGTTCTATAGAATACAAGGGTCTTAAAGCAAACTTTTGTATTGTATCTACCCCTGTATTGGCTCAGCAACAAACGAGTACTTTTATCATTTTTCTCTAGGAGGTTTTGTTTTGAATTTGTTTATATATATATAAACATATACATATATATATATTTAAGATTATTTCTTCAGATAGCAGTTTGTGGTATTTTCTGGTGGTCTGGGAATAGAAACTAAATCAAAGTGGTCTTTATTGCCTAGTTATTGTAATCCATTTTTGTTCAGGAGAATTATAGGACAAGATTCTTTTTAGCCACCTCGATTATGTTCTAAGTGTTTAGCAGCCAGAATGTAACTTAACACCCTTAAAGTTTCAGGATCTTTTGTATTCCTTATTGACATTTTAAACTTTGCTTATATAATGAAGGGGGTCAAGTCCCAAGTGATACATTGACTCACTAGTAACTGAAGCTTATTTGAATTGAGTACATTTGATTGGTCGGTAAGTATTGTTTTCAAGAGGATTGAGGAATATAACTGCTTTCTTTAAAGTGCTCCTCTTTCTGTCTAATGTAGTGTTTACTGGAAGGTGACTAACACTAAGAATTAATCAGTGGGTAACCTCTGAATATTTTTTGGTTGAACTTTTCCAAATGCAGAGTTGGAATTTGCCTGAAATAGATACTGTCTCTCACTTGCAAATTAACTGCTCAGATCTCTGCTTTGACATCTCTTTTGGTTCTTATTCTATGGGTATCTGATTTTATGGGTAGCATTGATTTCTGTTTATTATCCTTCAAGATTAATATTAAGGTCAAAGGATGAAGCAAGCCACATTTTTTAAAGGTGTTTATGTACTTAAGGTACCATTGTTTTTGTAGCTGGCCCATATGGGAATCTGAACCCTTCACCTTGGTGATATAACACTGCTGTAACCAATTGAGCTAACCAGCCAGCCCAAGGTACCAATTTTTTAAGTTAATGACCACCATTAGGAATCTTTCAGCTACCTCCTAGGCAGAGGGGTGGGTGTGGGTGTAGTTGTGGAAGTGCTTAACCCTGACTTCTGACAGGAAATCACTACCAGTATTAGAAAATTCAACCCTGTGTTTTTTCCCCCAAGCAGCACCATGTGGCACCATTTTTTTTTTTTTTTTTGTTTCCCCATAGAAAGAAGTGTATAGGTGACAGTATCTGTTTTATAGGATGTTTAGCTGGTACCAACTTGTGTTTTTGGCATTGCTTTTGATTCACTCTGTTATTCTGAGCAACTGTCTTTGAAATTCTCTATCTGAGGATAAATGAGATGAAAAGTGTGTGGGTTCTAGGTGCTGACCAGATGAACAGAATATCATGTACCCTGTGGAAACTTATTAAATATTCAGTGGTACTAAGAGTGTGGAATGGATCAAGGTGAAAATGAGTTCTAACTCATTTAGGCACTTCAGTTTGAGGCAAAAAAGGCATCTCTACACTTACGAAAATTCTTCCATGCAGAACCTATAAAATTAGATGGCCAGGAATGAGGACTAACTGAGGGTTTAGCACTAAAGGCCTTTTTTTTTTTCTTTTTTTTTTTTTAAATATCCGAATAGCACTTAGAGATCTTTATCCAGATCAGTTGAGAGGACAGAAAGATTCTGGAACAAGCCTAGTTTATCTGATTTATTCAAAGTTTTCATTGTAGAGGACATGGCTAGTTTACATCCACTGCATAGGACTCAAGTGGCATATGTATGCTGTTTATTTATTTATGTTTTTTATTATGGGACTCTTCAAACATATTCAAAATTAGAAAGAATAAATCAATACAATAAATAAATAAAATGAACCCATTTATCATCACCAAATTCAATAATTATCAATACATGCCAGTCTTGATTTACTTATTATCTTTCCCCATTCTCTAGCTAAATATAAACAGGCAACACATAAATGGGTCTCTATTTGAATTTAATATATCATAGTATTATAGTAAACTGTGTAATGCTTTTAATAATTCTTAACCTGTTTTTACTACACCAAATCAATAAATGATTTGGGGAGATTTTCACAAGTATCTTTGAGGAGACTTTTAGAGAAAATTTAAGGTTATGATAGATTTTTGAGAAGCCATTTCAAGAATGCCTCTTGTTTTGTTGTCTCTTTATTCAGGGTTTTCCTAGAGCAGGTGTCAGCATTAGATAAGAAATTGTTGGATGTGCTGTCTTCTAAGTAGAAAATCTTTCTACATTCTTGTCAGACTTCTCAGTAGCAGTAGAACTTCTCTCTGACATTGTTAGACTTACTGCTAGAGAGATGCCCAGAGTGCAAAATTTAGAGAAGCACTCACTCTCAGGTGCCAGCTGTGAGCCTGCAGAAGCCTGAGAGGAGGACATCTTAAATTTTGTGCCTGGAGTGTCTTGCTTGCCTTACTCTTGTCATGGCCTTATTATACATACCCAAGTCATTTTTTGATCTCTTTATTCTTGTTGTCTTAATGAAGAACTGAAAAGCCTGGGCTTAAGAGGTGGCCAGAGCACATAGATACATGCCTACTTTTGATTTTGAATCTGTCATTTTCATCTCAACAGTATGCCCTACTTTTTACTTTAAAATAAAGTATTACAACTGTCATTAGAGCAGTGATTTTCCTTTTATCAGTGGGGTCAAATGCTGCTGATAGGAAATGGATTGAATGCATGAATGTTAAGTAACTTCCAAAGTCTAGTGGTGGAATGTAAGATTCAGTAGCTCAAACGCCTCAGAAGTTTCTAAAGCTTATGTTGGTCTTGTGCTATTAGGAAAAGAGAAATTTAAATTTAAGTTCTTTCCATGCCAGGCACTTTTACTTACAATATTTCACTTAATTCTTATATCCACCTTGTGAAGTAGAGGTTATTCCATGTTATAGAGATCGAGAAATTTATACTCAGAGATACTAAAGGACTATTCCAAAGTCATGCAGCTAGTAGTAATTTAGCTAGGATTCTAACCTGAGTCCCAAATGAATGTAAACAATAGAACTTAAATGTGTGTATGCAAACACACACTATTAGAACTGTTTCATTTAATTATCTGAAAACTTTTAGTTTCCAGGCAGAAAACCAATGCTCCTGACAAAAATTGTCTGAAAAAAAAAAAATTCTTTTTACAAAATAAATTATAATGTAAGTAAAAAAAAAAATGGTAGTAATTATCTGGAAACTGTTTTATTATGGAAATCTCAATCATCTTACTCTTAAGATAGATATGAGTCCTTATTTTACTGCTCTTGGGGAGTGATTTTGTTCCACTTCTTCAGAGGCTGCTCCACATGGTGGCAGCACCACCCCAGCAAATATTAGACTCTCTTAAAAAGGAAATGAAAGCTTCCATGGGGTACTGCCTTAGTAGTTTTTTTGTAGCTCATTTCATTAGGGAATCCTAGATGTGAAAGCACCAGAACATCTGTAGAAATGACTTTGATATCTTCTAATATGAGAGTGAAATGTTGATCAAGAGCTGACAGCTCTTGGGGCTATGTTGACCTATTGTCTGGTTCCTAGAAGCAGTTTGCCTTGCTAAAGGACTAGAACTTTACTGTATTTTCATTCCCTGTCTGTTTGGGGGGATCACACACACCTCATTCTCCTGTAGTTGTTTTACCATTTATACTTCAGTTAAACCTGACTTTTTAGTAAAATATTAGTTGAGAGAGAAAAGATAGACTTTCAAGTAAGAAGTTTCACTGTGTTAATTCCTAGTTTTATGTTCATGTTGCTTAACTTCCCTGAGTCTGTTTCCTCTTCTAGAAAATGAGGGGTACTGTCTTAGAGAGTTGTTGGGAGTGTTGATTAAGCTTTTGCATGAAAAGTGCCTGTTAAAGTACCTGGTTTATCAGGGCTCATAAGATGATGGCTGCTATGGTAATTAAGAAGTAGACATCAGGCAAAGGTTTTTTTTTTTTTAGATATTTCAAATGACTTTATTTTTTTTTTTTTGTCAATATACACTGTATATGATTATTATGGCCCGTCACCGACACCTC